AAGCATCTACGCTTCGAGACCGTTCCGAGAGATGATCGCTCGTCCAAAAATCAGCCGAAACGAGTGGAAAACGGCCGAGATATGAGCCTTTGAAGTTGGGAATTTCGCACCCTTTTGCTGCCCTGGCGAGCACCGGCCGGCCGTCGAGGTGCGCGCCTTCCGACCGCGGCGACTTGGCCGCGGGCGTCACGGACGGGTCGAGCTCCCCGGGCAGGCGCGGGCCGAACCAGAGCGCGAGGGCGTTGCCCACGGCCAGGAGCACGACGACGCCGTAGAGCTCCGCGACGTTCTCCGTGAGCAACAACGTCAGCGGCACGACGGCGCCCGCGACGGCGAAGGCGACCGTGTTGTAGACGTGCCAGGCCGGCGCGTGGGGGCCCTGGGCGTCGCGCGTCGCGATCTGGACGCCCGTGTCCAGCGTCGCCGTGCCCAGGCCCGTCGCGCCCCAGAGCACGTGGAGCACCCACACGGACGTGCACCCCGGCATGAGCCCGAGCACGAGCGCGAGGAAGAGCTGGGCCAGCACCACGACCTTGCGCTGGCGGCCCAGGGGCGCCGTCGCCTCGAAGAGCTTGACGTCCAGCGCGCCGCCGAGCACCGCGCCGAAGCCCCGCGCGAGGAAGACCGTGCCCGCGTCCGTCGCCGTCGTCCCGCAGCGCCCCGCGATGGTGCTCAGCGTCGAGCCGAGGGCGACGAGCACGACGCCGCAGAGGCCCATGGCGTTGGCGTAGAGCACGCCGCAGGCCACGTACTCGTAGCTCTGGGGCGGGCTCGAGCCGCCGACGTACTCGACGGGCAGCTTGCGCCGCCGCGGCGACGGCGGCGGCGTCCGCCGCGTGCGCCGCGGCGCGGGGCTCGTCGACCGCACCGTCGGCGCGGTTGTTGTTGGCGTCGCCGGGGGGATGAGCGGGGCAGCCTCCATCGTGCCCGACTCCATCGTCACCCGAGCCGCGGCATCTTGCGCACGTTGACCAAGTTATTGAAGGGGGAGCACACCCGAAGATCCCGCCGGGGAAGGCGCGGGCGGAGGCCTAGCCGGGGATCTGGCGAACCACACCGGCCCCCTCCTCCACCCTGAAGATCGTGCGCGCACTCGGGACGGAGGCGGCGGTACACTCGCGCCACGCCTGGTACCACCGCCACGCCGAGAGCACGCCGGGACTGGCGCAAGGCAGTAGCATCCTGAGTCGCCTCATTCAGACGACACTCAACGGACTCTCCGTGGACCGGGGGAGGTTGAGAACGAAGGCACCCGCACCCGACGGGCAGGACGTCCGGCTCGACTAGGCCGATTCAACCTCAGGACCACAAGTGGCTAGCCGAGGGCACCGCCGAAGAGGACACCCGTGGTCAGCGGGACCGAAGAGAGCAAAGACGCCGACGAAGAGAGCGAAGACGCCGACGTCGACGGAGCCGCACACAGCGCCACGCTACGAA